GGAAACCCTCCGAATTGCTTCGGAGAGATTTGGCCATAGACTGTACAGGCAGGCACTAAGCAGTACCTGCCTGTACTGCTAGGGAGAAGCTAGGGAAGCAGCCGGATGAGCCCCGGCTTCAGCCAGCAGCCCCAGGAGAAGTCACAGCTCGTCTGGCTGCCTCCCTGCCAGGGTGAGGCAAGCAGTGCTGGCAGCCCCAGGAGAAACTGTGGGGACTGAGAGGAATGATCGGGAGCTGAGGGATCAAACTGGGAATTGGGGGATCGAACTGGGAGCTGGGGGGATTGATCGGGGGCTGAGGGAATGAACAGGGGCTTCCCCTCAGCTCCCGGTTCGATCCCCCAGTTCCCCAATCATTCCCCCCAGCCCCCACAGCTTCTCCCAGGGCTGCAGGCTCAAGCCGCAGCTCATCTGGCTGCCCACCCCGCTGGGGCAAGGCAGGCAGTGCTGGCAGCCCCGGGAGAAGCCCTGGGGGCTGGGGGGAAATGATCAGGGAGCTGGGAAATCAAACTGGGAGCTGGGGGAAGCCCCTGTTCGTTCCCTTCGCCCCTGATCATTCCCCCAGCTCTCCAATCATTCCCCCCAGCCCCTGCGGTGTTTCCCAGGGCTGCCAGCACTGCCTGCCTCACCCTGGCGGTGGGGGCAACTAGACAAGCAGCTGGATGAGCCATAGCTTCTCTCGGGGCTGCCGGCTCAACCACGGCTCGTCCAGCTGCTCCCACTGGCACCGCCTGTCTATATAGTCTATGGCCAAATAAGATTTGGTGCCGAATATCTTCAGATTTGGCTGAATCAAATCAGGACAGTGATTCAAATCACTGAATTGAATCACTGTCCTGCCGAATCCAAAGCACATACTTTCCACTTCACACAGGCCTAGTAGGTAGTAATCAATGCTTCAATGTCTAGCTGGCAGCTGGTATCAAAGTGGAGTGCCCCAGGGGTTGGTCCTGGGCCAGTTTTGTTCAATATCTTCATCAACAATCTGGAAGATGGGAGGAAGCATACCCTCAGCCAGTTTGCAGAGGATACCAAGTTGGGGGGTAGTAGCAGCTGCGCTAGAGGGCATGACTACGATTCAAAGACACCTAGACAAATTGGAGGACTGGAGCAAAAGAAATCTCCTCAAGTTCAATAAGGACAAGTGCAAAGTCCCGCGCTTCGGATTAAACAATCCTCTGCACTGGAACAGGTTGGGACCTGACTGGCTAAGCAGAAGCTCTGCAGAAAAGGACTTGAGGGTTACAGTGGACAATAATCTGAATACGAGTCAACAGTGCACCCGTGTTGCCAAGAAGGCTAACGACATACTGGGCTGCATTAATAGGAGTGCTGCCAGCAGATGGAGGGAAGTGATTCTTCTCCTCTATTTGGCACTGGTGAGACCACATCTGGAGTACTGTGTCCAGTTCTGTGCCCCTCACTACAGAAAGGATGTAGATAAATTGAAGAGAGTCTGGCAGAGGGCAACAAAAGCGGTTAAGTGGTCTGGGGCACATGACTTCTGAGGAGAGGCTGAGAGAACTGGGTTTATTTAATCTGAAGAAGAGAAGATGGGGGGTGGGTGTGTTAATAAAAGCCTTCAATTTTTTGAAGAGTGGATCCAAAGAGGATGGAGCTAGACTGTTCTTAGTGGTGGTAGATGACAGAATAAGAACCAATGGTTTCAAGTTGCAGCAAGGGAAGTTTAGGCTAGATGGTAGGAAAAACTGTCTCACTAGCAGGACAGTAAAGTACTGGAATGGGGTACCCAGAGAGGTGGTGGAATCTCCATCCTTAGAGGTTTTCAAGACCTGGCTAGACAAAGCCTTGGCTGGGATGATCTAGTTGGGAAATAGTCCTGCTTTTAGCAGGAGGTTGGACTAGATCAGCGTTTCTCAATCCATGGGTTGCATCCTACAAGTGGGTCACAAGAACATATGAAAGGGTTGCAAACGAACTGTAAAAATGGAGTCTGCTTGAAAGGAGAAAACTGTGGGAAACTGTGGCTTTTCCCTTGCAGACTGTCAGAGTTCCAGCCTGCAATGGGCTGCTTGGGGTCCCCATACACCCCACCAGACACCCCCCCACCTCCTGCCACACATACTGTGGGGCAGCAGGTCAGGAGTGAGGGGCACTGGGTCAGGACTAGCCAATGTTTACAAATGGGTCCTACTACAAAAAAGGTTGAGAACCGCTGGACTAGGCCTCCTGAGGTCCCTCCCAACCCTAAATTTTCCGATTCTGTGTTTTCAAAGCGGAGCACAATAACCCCTGTTCCACAGCTGAAAAATCCGAGGTGCAGAATGTTTAAGATTTAGTCAAGGAAGTCGGATTAGAACTTACATATTTTCCAACTCCTAGTTCAATTTACTCAGACTTTTTACAACACGTTAAAATATTTTATAAAATCATAAACATCAAAGATACATTCACCCAAATAAATCAATGTTTTATAGTGCAGCAGCCTTTAAATAAAAAGTAGTGTTTGCTAATGACTGCAATCGCTCAGCATTATGGAAAATTATGGAGAATGGTTGTGATTCTACTGAAAAAAGGAAAAATTCCAGGGTGGAAGTGGTATATAGAAGAGTTGTGTTTTTCTGGGTTTTTTTAATAAACCCTTCCAGCTTTTACAGAGGGCCATTAATAGCCCTGTTAGATTACATCTGGTTGAGAAAAGGAGGTAAAACAAAATAATAAAGTAAAACTTAGCATAAAAATAGTGGCGATATCTGAAATTAAATTTAATTACTCTCATTGGTGTTTATGTAGTACTGTTTGAAACCTAGAGACACAACAAAACAATGTAATTAACCATGCTTAAACTCAGTGGTCAGAAGTGACACCATAGTAACTGTGTTCATGTCTAACAAAGAAAACATATCTAGAGAAAAATACATTGATACCTTTTCCTTAATTCTTGTTATAGGTTCTTTCATCACATACCTTCAGAGACATAAGCAAAAGGCTTATTCCTTATGGAAAGCATTGTAAACAAGTTGAAAAAAAGAGCCACAAAAGTACCAACTAACAGTCGCCCCCTGGAAGACAGAAAAAGAAATACATTTTCATTTTTCATAACTTCTGCTATCATATGAAATTAAACTAAGATTAAGGGCTGGTGCCTTTAAAAGAACAATTGTCTGAAGATACTCTATCAAGACAAAAACAAGACTAAGATAAATTCTAGTTGACTGTAAAATATCGGACAGCTTTCTACCATTTTAAGAGAATATTTGTGAATTTTGCATGTTAAAGATGAGCTGATGACAATTCTCAAAATAACTGCTTGTCCTCAGGGCTGAAACTTCAATAATAAAAATAGAAGAAATAACTAATACATTTGCTAAATTATAAGGAACAAATATGCAACTATTACTCAGCTACACAATCACTTATAGGTTCATTTATATCTGTACCTAAAAAGATCAAAAAGTTATTACCACAAAAGTTTACATACATTTTTTAATTTAAATGCCAAAGTACCAAACACAATTTGGTGTTGGATATACCAGTCATTCATATATGCCAGATTAAGAAACAGAAAAAATAAGGAAAGTAAAAAAAAAAGATAGCTTCATATATTAAAATCACATCTTACGTGTGTATCTCAGGTTGTTCCAGAAACCGTTTTGCACTGCAAGAAATAAATTGTAATTTCTAATTATATTAACAGAATTACATGAAAAATTACAAATATAAGGAAAACTTTTCATTTGTGGACATCTATCTATCTCACTAAATTGAATTAGGGTATAATTTACAGAAAAGAAGGTAATTCTAGTAACCCTCTCAAGGGCAGAGCCAGAGGCAGTGCAATGACATAGCTGCACCCTCCCTTTGGCTGTGCCACATGTGAACTCTCAGCATGGGATCTGGCCTGAGCCTCTACTTTCCATAAATTTGGACTCCAAGGAGTGAGAGTTGCCAATGTCCCCTCTCCCCACTTTCTCTTGCTGCTGAATTCAGAAGGGAGGGGAAAGGTGAGCAGCAGCAGTCTAGAATCACAAATGATGGTAGGGACTCCAGTCAGACCCCACTCCAATCAGCTAGTGAGCTCAGAGCTCGCTGCTCATGTGCAGCTCCAGCAGGAGGGGTACCCTTTTTTTCCATTCCTAGGTCCACTACTGTAACCCTCTGTAAGTATAAGGAACATTATAGTAAAGATAACAATCAGTTCTTCTCAGTCAGCAAGCACTAAAACAAGATTAAGCTTCAGCTGTGCAGGGAAAATCTAGGATAAATTTCAGAAAAAACAAGAGTTAAACGGTAAAGTGTACTGTTCCAAATACGGTGCAATTGCCATTACTAAAAACAGTCTAGGCTATGCTAGGCATCTGTTAGGGCTACTTTAAAAATATAAATAATTTTTTCCCCAGAGCCCATTACAACAGACCCTTCTGTCAAATGAAGGAATGAAAAGAAATATTTGCAAACAAGTTTCAGTCAAAAGAAACTAAATCTTAATTAAAAATGTCATCTGAGATACAGCAATGCAACTTGTCTCAGTAAAATGAAGGGCCAATTTCACAAACTGTTGAGCATTTACCTCTTCACTGAAACTAGGAGGGGGCAGCACTCCCCAAAGAAGCTCCAGAGATATTTCAGGACTGCATTTAAATTATCTAACGATACTTGCTAAATCCCATAAACGTAAAAAAAATTAAATGCTACATCTTGACACATTGCATGTCATGGACAATGCCTCATTAAACATGAGCACAGAGTATGGATGGAATTCTTTTACCTTTGTGCATCTAAATGGCAGTTTTCCAGCTGTAAGTGACCTTTCTGGCATTTACCACAGTTTGTGATTCTGTCACCTTTGCAGTGTAGACACATAAGCATGCACACATATACTGTATGTGCTCAGTTTGACTGGGTTGATCCATGGCTGCATATGCATACCCAGGGAATGTGTGTCAGTTACAAGATCACAGTCAGATAAAAAACATGGCTGTATGCAGATGCTATTTTTTATAGTACTATGGGCAGGTGCTATGTGTACAGTCCCCCTAGCTGGAACATACCACTGACATGCTTGCCTGATTAAAGTTGCTATACCAACAAGCTGATCAAGACCTGAGACCCACCTCTGTTATGGTGGTTCCCCATCTTGGGCTGCCCAGGAGACCTTTAAAGCTTCTAGTTCCTGGACAGCCCAACAGGCAGCTCAAGCCAGTCTCGGGTTGCCTAGGAGCCCTTTAAAGGTCTCAGCTGGTAGATGGGTTCACTGCAGCTGTGTTAGCCTGTCTCAAGCTGACTGCCAGTCAGAACTTCAGGGGGCTCCCAGGGAGCCCCAGACAGAGAACACCACCAGAGCGCAAAGTTTCACCCTGTTCTGCAAAGAACCTGAGACAACTGCCCCAAGGAACAGACCCTATTCTTGGGCTTTTGGTAGGGCTCTGGTCACCCAGGAGGCAGGAGACCCAAGTTCTAGGATCCCCTCACCCAGAAGGTATTTGAACCTGCAGGTCTCTAACTTCTCACCACAGTGGTCTTACCACTACACCACAGGTTAGGCAGTGGTTCAGTGAGATGGGTGTTTCTCTGGAAGGAAGGCCATGGGCCCTACCCTGGACCACTGGAACCTTCTCCACTGAAGAGGGTCTCCATCCATCTTATCTAGTGACTATTAAACGCAAGGTGCAGTAGCTCAGCTTCAGAAGGAGTGCTGAAGAAGGGACTTGGTAATGCCTAACTTGGGGCACAGTGGCTACCGGCTACATCACTTTGCTAGGAAATCAGAGAGATGTAGATTCAAACCCTCCCTGAGGCCAGGGGGAAGGGCCTAGAACACAGGTCTTTGGCTTGCTGGCCAAGAGCCCCAACCACTCCGCTACTGGGGCTAAAACAGATGCAGGGTTGGTTGGGTGGGGAGGGTGTTGTCTTCCTCCTCACTTTTTCCAGGACTTTGCCAATATGCACACACTTACCTGGCAAATGTGTAGCCTATTAAGCATGCTTCACATACATGTGTACACTTCCATCTCCACAGAGCACCAGGAATAAAATAGTAAAACTGTCTTTAAGTGCCATTTAGGTACATGAAGGATAACAGAATTCCACCCTATTCTGTAAGTGACCTGCAACAGGTCAATCTGGAATATATCATTAGGCCAGTATCATAGCTTTATGCACTTGGGAAGAAGTTGCTATGCACGCATAATAGCCAATTTTCAGCAATTTTATTTTCTTAACTGATTCTTAAATAAGTTTAAAACAAACACGTGAAATCAGTAAACTAGCATGCCTCTTAGAAGTACTGCACTTGATAACATGCTGAAAATTTACTGAAACAAGTCATGTGCCTGGAATTAATTATTTGCATGTCTGGAGACACACAAACGTTGATGGATTACCAACTCATTTAAAATAGAAAAATCCACACCTTCCCACTTCTATAGTTACTTTAGAAAATAAGGTGCTACTTAACACCTGATAATACTGGAGTTAAATAATTACACAAAATTGTGTTTTCATTATTGCTTGATTGATCACAATGATCAAACAATATTGTTTATCAGGCCCTTAAGAGAGCTCTTGGAATGTGCCATGAATAGTACTATCAAATTTTTCCCTTTAAAAATTGCTCATATACATTTTCCCATAGCCCACATGGACAGCAATCAGGATAATTAGCAAAATAAGGTTCTACAACATCACCCCTTGCTGCAAATCCATTTTGTCTAAGAAGTCAGGAGCTATTTCTGAAAAATGACCCTTTCTTTTACAGTACTTCAAAAATATATAAGCTTTACTCAAGCTGAATGGAACATTTTCTCGTCAAAAATTCACCATAAAAGAAAGAATGCATATATTCCTACCTTTCTTTTAGGATAAAAAGAGCTCCTAGCTGTGCCAGAACTGTGGATGCAAATACTGCTAGCACTTCAAACCTCTCAAATCTGAAATTTGAGAATTTAGTTAAAAACTCTGGACTACACATACAAAGAGCTTTCATCCTGGTCTGTGCGCAATTAGCCTGCCTCCTACCTCTCTCCCTCTCAAGTGGGGGACAGATGGGGAGGATTCAGAGATTTTTGGGAAAAGGAATTATTTCTAAGTTCTATTAGGCCAACTATCTGTTTAACAAGGGTAATTAATTGATCCGACAACCAGTGGAAATTCAGACTACAATTCCAATCATAAATATAATCCATTTGCCACCCTACTAACCTCTCTTCTCTGTATCTCAAATATGGGACTTTTTGTTTAGGCTTCACAATTCCTTGCATGTCTTTGAATTTTAGTATTTAAAAAAAATAAAGATGTTTATTCTACCTTATGTATCATGTACCTTACGTACCACAACTGTCAAACCATATATATTGAACAAGCATAGTGCAATATGTTAATAGGAATGAAGTAAAAAGATTCTCATGATAAGCAAGCTATTTTAACATGCACACAAATATTTATACATGTGTTCAGTAACTCAAAAAAACTGGATTAGTCTACTAACAAAATATTGTTCATGGCACATTAAATAATTAATGCTCCATATCAGTACTTACCCAAATGAATAGACTGGGCTAGGTTTCTTCATCATTACCCAGTAGCTTATTAGACATGTTATCAAACTGAAACAAAAGGGGACACTGATGTTAGGATGATAAAAACTCGAGCTACTAAGCCAGCATAATTTATACACAAAACATACTACAGTTTCCAGAATTCAAAGTGGAATCTTTCAGTAACATTTAAATTATACCATGCATTCAACCCTGCAGTTATACTAGCAAGGTTTTTCTTGAATCCAATGAAAGTACTGCCAGGATTAGGACTTTGGAACCAAATCTCTGCTATGCGTTTCATAGAAACGCCTAATGAGGTCAAGTTGAGTAAGTGATAACCTTATGACAGATGATCAGAGATGCACTGTATTTACAATGGACATCATCAACCTTCCCCAGCATCATTCAGTACTACAATAAAGGTGCCTCAACTTCAAAAACTGCTATAAGAAACAGAAGTTAAATGTTAAATCAGTGGCTGTGTCTGCACAAGATACTGACTGTGCAGTAACTCATTAATACTGTGCAGTAGTGTCACATGGCACAAAGTGTGATGCAATGCTACTGCACAGTAGTAACGAGCCACTGTAGGGCCAGTGTCACCTAGAAGCTGTCTATGAGTATTTTTAAATGCACAAACATAGAAGCAATATTTATAGTATGGTTCTCAGGTGGAAACCAAATTAATTTTTGAAGTGTCTGAAATGTGAATCAGAACAGTTGGGTTTTCCTAGTTTGTGTCCAGCAGGCTGGGCACCAGAGTAGACAAACACTGTGATGGCTCCAACTATATAACCCAAATCAAACTTGCATTTTTGGTTGTGAATTTCAGTTGTGGTTTTGGCTGCATCTTACTCAAAGCTTACAGAAAATATCAAGAACCAACTGGATTTCTCACTCGGACTGAATATACGATTCAAATTATTTTCTCCCTGATGTATCAGCCTGAATTTTTCAAGGATGAATCTTATTTCCTGTACTTATTTCTCTCTGCAGATCCCTTTGGATTCTGTTTGTATTGGTATGCACACAAAAGTAATACCATCTGTAAATTTACATGCAACATACTGTTTACCTCTTTTTCTTTCCTCCAGATCATTAAAACATCAAATAAAACTGGATGCAGAACTTTTCCCCCAAAGCAACTTGAGACACCCTCCCAGTTTGAGCCAAGCTGTTTATCATTACTCTTTGTTCACAGTATATAGAAGAAAAACAAGCTGAAGTGACTGACTGTTTGTATCCAACAGACTAACATAAATTTCTCAAGTAACATTTTAATTTATTATAAACAACCCAGAAGGTCAGAAGTTGAAGAATAAGGAAGATTTTTGCAACAAAACTGAGCACTGCTTATTCTTGACAGGTCAATATTCTCTAAAGAGTTCTGTGATTAAGTTGGAAAAACATTCAAATCTATTACATTCCCATCGCACTTGATAAATGAATATTTCAGGGCATTTTATGTTACTGGGTCCCTAAAACTAGAGAAATAATCTGTGCATTTTAAGAGCTATTTGCAAGTATATTACTTTTCATAGATTAAGTTTTCTTCAAAATCAGTTGTCTTATGCTGGGTATGTATAGTTTATCAGGGGTGACCACCAGCATCTGGGGGAACGTTTGTTCACCAGAGCGCCCCAAGGGATGATGAGGTTGAATGGTCACAAACTACTTCAAGATCGTTTCAGGCTGGACATAAGGAAGAAATTCTTTACTGTCCGAGCCCCCAAGGTCTGGAACAGCCTGCCACCGGAGGTGGTTCAAGCGCCTTCATTGAACACCTTCAAGATGAAACTGGATGCTTATCTTGCTGGGATCCTATGACCCCAGCTGACTTCCTGCCCTTTGGGCGGGGGGCTGGACTCGATGATTTTCCGAGGTCCCTTCCAGCCCTGATGTCTATGAAATCTAGTACATGCTGATTTTTTTTTTTTTTTTAATTAAAATAGCCCAAAAGTTTTTTTTCCTTTCTTGGTCTGAGACTACAATGTATTTTCGATTTTTAAGACTTCCAAACTATGCAGGTGAAACTAGACATGGGCTGCATACAGGCATTATGTTTCTACCAGGAGAATCACCGTTCTCCCAGCAGAAACTACAAACGTTCATTCAACCTCTACCAAGGGAAACATCCCCTCCAGGAGAAAGGTCTTCCAGGTTCACACCTGGAAGATCTCCCCATCGAGACAGACTCTCTTGCAAAAACGAACACCAGTATGCTCCCTCCTGATCTGGTCTGGGAGGGGAATGGAACATAAGGGCAATACTCCCTGCTCACTTCCTATACCAAAGACTCCCACTCTGGGGAACTGGTAGAGGATTTAGGCTATTTAAGGAACACATTAGAGGCCTTACCATAAGTGTCTCTCTCTTGCCTACATCTTCCATTATCTGAAGATAGTAACTGTATGATGTTGCTGCAAACGTGTAAGAGAAAGGCTTACAAGGTCAGATTCCATGTTTTTGCTGATTTAAACAGGAAAGTACAGATGAAATGTTTGACTATAGGCTAGAAACAGACATTACCACATGAAGTTGATCACCTGTACCAGGATGTGTCCTGCCACAGCTAATCTGCTTCAATGGGCAAAACACATCTTACCCATTCATCCTGTGGGACAACAGGACATATTCCCTAGGGCTGTGCGAAGCTTCAGTCCCTGATTCGATTTGGCTCCATTCGGTGGCCAAATCTCCAAATCCAAATCAAATCAGGAGACCATTTAATCTCTCCAAATCAAAATGGAACCCTCCAAATCGATTTGGAGAGATTCGGCAATTCAGACAGACACAGCTTAAAATATTTTTTCTACACACCTCAAGGTACCAGGCGGCTCGAAAATGCGGAGATGGTGGGATGGATGCAGCGACCCACAGGAGCACAGGGGGCTCCCCTGTGTGGTTGGCAGCAGACCTGGAAGTGGACCAGAAGCACTTCCATTCCACTTCCGGGTCAGCCAGGGAGCACACTGGGGGCTTCCCCTCCTGCCCCCCCCCACCCCAAGCTCAGCAACTGGTGCCTCCTGGGCCTGAGGGGGCACCTAGGGTCCCCCTGCAGCTGATCACTGAGTCAGGGGGGCACAGGGAGGGTGTAGGGGGGGTCCCCCCACATGCTCTCCGGCAGACCCATTAGTGGACTGGAAGTACTTTCAGTCCACTTCCAGGTTCACTGCTGAGCATGCAGGGCCCCTGCCACGCTCCTGTGGGATGCTCCATCCACCCCAGCATCGCAGCATTCGTGAGCCGCTCCCAGTACCTAGAGTTATGTAGAAAAAACATTTAAAGCTGTGTCTATGGCCGAATTGCCAAGTCTCCGAATCAGCATCAAATCTTCAGATTTGAATTTGGCTGAATCAAATCGGGGACAGTTATCTGAATCACCTAATCAAATCACTGTCCCCAATTCGAGCCAAATCCGAATCAAATATGGCCCATTTTGCACACCCCTAATATTCCCCACTTCCAAAGACATGCCCTCAGCAATATCCAGGGTGCATCTCTGGAAGTATGGAAAGCCAGGAAGGTGCTCCTGGGCTTGCTTTAGAGTCTCAGTCCTGCACAGGAATTCCTGGGGTCCATAGGACCAGGTCCCTCAAGCCCCAGAAGCACCTGCCTGAGGTGGCAGGAGAGTGTGGGCAGCTTCAGCCCACACCCCCATACAAAAAGTATGGATGTCTATTTGCTGTTGCTTTGTACCACCATAAAAATCTGTATGGTGGTACAAAGGCAACAAAAGGTGACTTGTTTCCATGCATAGTAACACAAACAAAGTAACTGAAGCCAACTAGCATACGAAATAGTGAAGGGCAAAGTTAACGAAACCCACTATCACTGTCAAGAGTCCAAACCACAATGAGAACCTCTGAAAGCCCTTCTAATTAAACTTATAATAAATTCTTCACTTAGCTGGGGGTAGTCCTTCATAATCAACCCCCATATACCCAACAAACATATACCCAATCAAACTGTAGATAGATACATGCCATTAATGACTGTATGATTGTAAACCTGGGGAGGACTAGAAGGGAATAATGTGCCTGAGTTGTTGGGGGAATGGAACAATTAAGAACCCAGAGATCTTGAGGTCCAGCCTACACCCATCCCCCATCCTCCTAGGTGTGAGTAGATTTTTGCATTTCCATTGCCTGATCTGAACACTTCTTAATGTTTAGCTTTCCAATAAGGTGGTTCTCTTGAGAAGACATAGATGTGCTCTTTCTTTATTCCAAGGTCCTGCCTGACAAAGTAAGCTCCCTTTTGTTCCAATTTGGGATAAAGGTTTCCCTTTAGTCCAGCTGCTCCAGGCCCCTCCCAGACCAGTCCAGGGCATGGAAGGCAAGATAGGGATGCATCTCTGATTCAGTTAGTCTATAAGGTGCATCTTTACCCTGCCTTAAGGAAATTCTTTTCATTTACATATGGAGTAATGTATATGCTTTTGTTCTATCTGCTACTTAGCTCAAGCTGTATCTGCTTTTCCCCCAAACCTGAAGAAGGGTAGCGTGTGCCTGAAAGCTTGTCTAACCTCTCTCCCAACTATAAGTTGGTTTAAAAAAGATCACCCACCCAGCCCCCCTCACTTGGCTCTTCACCCATCAAGATATTCATCTCTCAGCTGCCTTTTCCTTTGTGTGTTTTTATTTAGAGATGTTTTGCTGTCATTCAGATAACCTGTATGATATATATGGGTGTCTTAATGATTAAACCAGACTATTTTCCTTGCTACAACTTAAAATTGGCTAAGTCACAAATTTCCTAGACAGATGTGTGCTCCAAAGTTGAAACTTTTACTTGCCTAGTACATAGCACTGGTTAAGTCAGCTCCTTATTGCTTCTCTCCCCATCCCATCTACAATGCTGGCATATTCATGTACATGCATCAAAATCCTGCATGCTAATATCTCCTATCTGTTATAAAGTGAAAAATACCTTTCAATACTGTCTGCAAACCAGAGGAATCTATTTCTGAAAGCAACAACCTGCTATAATTATGCTTCCTCACAAAACCTATGAACAAAAAATCTTTACTGGAGTTGCACACGAAAAAGTACCAAAAGCTACTTATAATTAAACAGTAAAATTAAAGAAAAGGTAAACAGAATTGTTCTAACAACATTCATAGCCTCTCTCACTTTACCAGAGATTCAACGAAGAATCTAAATGGTACCACATCCTGTAACAGTGGTCAGCAACCTTTAATATTCTGCAGGCTGGACTACCTGGCTCTGGTCTAACATAAGCCAGGTGGCTTTGGCAGCACATCAGCAACTGGAAGGTAGTGGGGAAGAGGCAAGGAGGAAAGGTGGGGTGCTGTCCCTGCAGGAGCCTTCCCTGCATCTGTGCTGAGACAACCAGCTGGGAGCTTCACCTACATCCCCACTCCCACCCCTCTCCCTGACTGAGTTTCCAGCTGGTGGGGAGTTGCACCAAGATTGGGGAGCTGCAAACTACATCTGCAATGCTTCTGCCCCCCTGGAAGGGGGGTAGATTGAGGCAGAGGGAGAAAAATGTATTTGGAGGTGCACCTCCCCAGCAGGTAAGTCCCACCCAGCTCAACTTACCCCTGCTCCTGCCTCTGTGGCACTGTCCCTCAACCATGGGGGCCTCAATCTAGCCCCCACCCCTCCCCCACAGACTGACCTGCTGGGCTGGGGCATGTGTGTGCATGCACATGGGCACTCAGCCCCCCAACCCAGCCTCGGATCGACTCCAAGAGGCTCTGAGATCTACCACAAGAGGCTCCAAGATCTACCAGTGGATCGAGATTCACTGGTTGGTGACCACTGTTCTAGCTCATTTCCTCACTACATTGCAGTTGAGTCCATTTAGAGAAAAAAAAATATTATCATTGTTTTTAAAGAACATAGTGTTGTGCTGGTGATGGCTGAAGACTAATAAAACTTGGAATTATTTGGAAAGTTTCAAAAAAGCCAGAATCAATAAACAGACATTAAATATTATTTAAACCAGCAATAGGGTCCATCTCACTGAAGTCAAAGACCCTATTCCACATACTGAGCACGCAAATGGTACATAGGCATTTAAGTATGACCACACACCCCACCCTCCCCCCAAAAGGTGAGTGGGTTCTTCTTCCATCTCATTGCTTTTGAAACTCCATGCTAAGAAGTACAAGGGTAGACTTATTAGCAGCTGTTCAGGGACTTAAGCAAGGTAGAGTAGGTTGTGTTTAGATGCCTAGTAAATGGAATAGGATCTGGCTCTTGGTGCATTTTTAAAGCATAAGTAAAACTAAACCAGGTTTTTCCACCTACAGTTAAACCAAATACATTTTAGTATTAATAGCTGTGGCATTAGTGAGGTGCTCTAATGCCAAAGGACCTTGAAGTGCTGCATCAGGGGCTGCAGGCCAACCCCTGTACATCAGCTAGATCCAAATATGTAGTGGCAGGAGCACAGTGGCAGCATTAAATGCCACAGGGCTTGCAGAGCTGCGGCAATTAACAATGCCACTGCTCTCCTCCCACCAAATTTCCAGATCTGCGGGGAACCCCACAGGCTGGATGACTTGGCTTTGCAAGTCATAGTTTGAGCACCACTGGATTAAAAGATGCTCGTTTGACACACAATAAGAGTTTTGTTGTCAATTTACTGAGTTAGAGCAGTATCAGACAGCTGTATACAGAAATCTAACTATGGTTCATTTGTTAATTATTCAGATCACAGCTACAATATTTGTTGTTTTACTCCTAAATACAATTATTTTATTTGGCCCAGTTTTACATTTGTGTGTGTATGGAAAAAATAACTAAAAAAATCATGTAGTTGGTAGGTCTTTGTTCACTGTTTATTTACTATTTTTCTTACTTTCAAACTTAGTTATAAAGAAGATTCTTTGCAAGCATTGATATATCATCGGATCACGTGAAAAAAGTCCTACCTGAAAAGATCAAAGATTGACAGGTACGTATATGCAGTTAATGCTGTAAAAACAAAATTTAGTATTAAATACTTCACCATAAGTAATAACAGAAAAGATGCATGTGCTTTTGCTTTCAAAAATTGGTTCTCTATGGCAACTCCCTATCATTTGCCACCCGAACAAGATCCTTCTGCTAAAACACAGCCCTGTAACAGTATAAAAAAAATGCTACATTTTGAAAGTTATGAAAGAAAAATTATAGACCAGTTGATTAAAGTAAGACCAGGTCTAAGTAAAATACTAAAATATTTAGTAGCGTTGGGGTGATGATGTAACCATGATGGTCCAGGAAACATGTAAGGAGGTAAGGACTTTTGTGGATATCTTATATTGGATCAACTGTATGACTGGGATACACCAAGACAAGGTTAGAGCTAATGAAGTATCAATTGCATTTGAAAACTTGTCTCAGTCTATCCCAATCATACAATTGGTCCAGTAAAAGATATTTCGTATATTGTTGAGCACCTATTAATGAACAGTTAGGAAAATTGAAACATGGAAAGAGACATTTCACAGTTAAGGTTCTACTCTAACAGTAACAGCCCCTTTATATATTTATGTTACAATAAGATGTGGGTGGAACCAGTTCAACTACAGTGGGAATTGGAGCAAAATTTTGCTTATCATTTGAACGCTTGGACTTTTTTTTTGTTTTGTTTTTCCAGTTGTGGTAAGACACCACATGTTAAAGATGTAACCCAGGCAGTCCCTCTGCAATGCAGACAGATGGGAAACCTTGTGTGTACTGTAGGGGACGCATGCTGTAAGGACAACTTTTTCATGAATTTGAAGAAACCCAACAAGTCCTGCTAACTGACTTCAATTTAAAGCTTTACCTCCATGGGTTATTTATTAAAGTAAAACGTTCAAAGGATAGTCCAAAGACCTAAAATCCTGTATGAGTGAAGCTTGAAAGGACTGTCAGACATAGAAGCATCAGAAGTGCTAGCAAAAATTGGGAAGTTTAAGAAGCTGCCAATGATATGCAGATTCTAAACCCTATACAAGAGGAGTTTTACACTAAACAGATTATGCAAAATCTCAAAAGGGATAAATTGTGAAGCCATTTGCACAGCCAAATAATACTAGTATACACTGGGCCTTGCTTGTCTATTATGCTAAAACTGTAAAGTTAAATGCAGTAACAGCCAACCATTTAGATGCAGGAACAGCTACATACCTATACTGTTAGTAGAGCTGCACCACATAAGCAGAAAACCAGTACATATTAAGTTTATTGCACCAAACAGTAAGATCTTCCAGGACTGTAAATTAGAAGAATTACATCATTAACCACATTTTAACTTGTAAAGTCCCTACTGTTCTAGAAGAACCAGAGACAAACATTAAATAAAAACAAAACTAATTTTACAGCTACTGTTCACAGCAAAATAGCATTTTATTTTCAATCCATTGTTCTTACAACAAAAGTCATACTGCTATATATAGAATCTGAGGGACAATTCTCTGAGAATATTAAGAGGATTTGTGCATGTTTATAAGGAGAAGAGATATGAAGTCTTCAGCAATTATTGAACAACTTTAGACAGAGCACAACCTAGTACCCTTCACCTAGCCAAAATTCCACACTTCATAATCGAATTTTATCTAAGCAAGGAATGTAGGAGTTACAATTTAAAACAGGGCCACATGAAGGTATTTTGCTTGGCACACCAGCCCTTGGGACAGATGGCAGGGGAGCCATGAGGGGCCCGATCCTTGTTGTGGCAGTGCAGTCCCAACCCCTTCCCTCCCATCCACCTCAAGGTGTGCATGCATCTGCCGCCAGCAACAAGCCATGCCAGGGCTCCACAGACTCCAGTACAGCTGCTTGCAGCCTCCCTGCCACCTGCTGTGAACAGCCTGGGCACTGTGGTGGGCACGTGAGCCTTGGGACAGGTGGTAGAGAGGGGGCCAGAGCTGCACTGCCACAACAAGATCTAGCCCCTCATGACTCCCTTGCTGTCTGCCCCTGGCACACCAACATCTTACAAATAGAGGGTGTGGGTGTTTCTGGCACACTACCTAAAAACGCTGCCGACACCTGTTTTAAAGTGTTTAAGGCAGCCTTGATAAATTCTACTTATCCATTCACCATGAGAAAGTAATTATTTTTTATGGCAAAATAATATATTTTTAAGTATAATCACTCAAAGCAAAGAGCAGGTAGATTTTCTGCCTAGGCTGGTACATTTATATGATAGTTTTGCAAAGACAATATTAATTTCTTTTTACTAAGTTTGAAACTTATCTTAAACTCTTAATTAAGGCATTACATGTACCATGATCATTGCAGTCCATTTTTTTGTTTCTGAGGATATAGGTCCTGATTCAGTTCTATCAGAAATGAATGGTAGTTGGACAGAACATGTAACTGCCACTTGTGTTATAACAGTATTATAAAGCTACTTGATTAAGACATATTTGTTTTCTTATCTATGAAGCAGCTGAATTGATGGTAATAAATACCATAAAAGCTCAACAAAAATTTCAACAAACTCAGCAAAAAACAATGCAACTGCAGTTAACAGTTGCATAAAGCATTAGGTGGGATATTAGTGTTCAGCCCACCCATAAAATTCAATCTGTGCTTTGTCTATTCTAAAATATCTTCTTCCATTTTTCCAGTTCTGTGATTACTGTAAGATGCATCTAGTGACAAATGCACAACACATGAATATTCCAAAACAATTTAAAATCAAAATGTCCTAAAGAGAGCTTTGTCAGGACAGGACAAACTTGACATTATTGGGGAAAGTTAAGAATATATTTGTCACTTACATATGATTACAACTATGTTTTTAAAATACAGTTAACAAAAACTAAATTAACTTACCCTTCTATCAGCTGCTACCAATCTAAATTCCTGTGTTAATTTGCCAACTACTGATCTTTGTGATTTGCGAAATAGATGTATTGTCCCCTTCAGAAAAAAAAAAACCCATAAAAAATTAGTGTTTTTCTTCTTCAAAACTTAAAAATTGTACTTTTTTTTTTTTTTACTTACATTTCTCTCAGGAACTTTTTGGAAAGAAATGTGTGCGATTAAATGAATATGCCAATAAACACGTACCAAGAACTATTATTTTAAATATTACTCAGCAAAGGGAAGCAAACAGTACAGCAGATAATTTCAAGTAGGCTTTGGGAGATCCCATGATTTGCAATAGAGCAGGCAGTAACAGCATCAAACTACAAGTGCTTGTCTAACTTGTCTCTAAAACCTTTACCTACTCTTCCTCAATAGGGTGGATTGATCTAAATCCAACTTAAAATTCCCACTGTAATAATTTAAATCAACAAGCAGGAAATGTTTATTTAAATAATTAATTTTAATTTAGGTTTGTAAATTCTAATTATTTTCCTGAAGAATGAACTTCTCATTGGGTAGAAAAGCGTTAAAAATATATATATGCATGCAACCAATGTACAACATTTACACTAAATTTTATATTAATTTCTTGCTAAGAGTATACCACAGTTACTTACTAAACTTTTATTCAGATTTTTAATTTTTACATTTGCATTATGTAAGAAAGTGGTTAATCATTTTCATTTTTGATTTACAATATATTTTTACTCGGTATGTGTGTCAAACAGCACTTGTATGGAAACTGGAATGCAAGTTCATTAAAAAATGTTCAAAAGTAGCATTTTCTATTGTTTTTATTATATAAAACTACTTCCAATATCTTAGAGAGACAACTTTTCTTCATCAAAAAGTTTTGCATTTAATGTGGATTTATTATTAACTGTAGACAATGATTAGAGGGATAGTTTCTGGTCATGCTAGGCCAGATTTCCAAAATCTGTAGGTACCTAAAGATGCATGCTGGGACCAACTGGGATTTTCAAAACCACCTATTGCTCACTGAAATCAATAAGGATTAGGGATGCTAACCTGCTTAGATTAGGGGTGTCAAACCTGTCCAGCTCCACAGGACCAGAGAGCATACCTGCAGCAGGGGTCCTTGTTTTCTTGCCTACAGGGCTACCCCAGGCTGCCAGAAATGTTAGTGGGGTAAACGGCAGCAGCATGAATTGCTGTGGCAACCACCACTTGTCCCACCACCAAATTTCCAACTGAAGGCAGCCCCACAAGCTAGATGACGTGGCTCTGCACTCTGGATCTGGCCCATGGGACTGAAAATTTGGTGATGGAACGAACAGTGGCAGCATGAATTGCTGCAGTTCCAAGAGCAATTCATACTGATGCTGCTAGTCATCTGGCCTGCAAGACAGTGGGACAATGGGCTGGATCTGGCCTACAAGCCACATCTTTGATATCTACTGGAACAAGTTTTGATTTTCAACTGGTGTGTCTACACATCGCCGCATGGCGATGTTGCTATGGTGCCATGCTTTAGTACTTTCTTTTGGAAATACTATACTAAAGCATGGTGCAGTTCAGATGGTTACCGTGTTGTGCACACAGCTCAAGGTTAAATTTTGCCGCTATGTTACCATAGAACCATGCTATATCTGGGGAGTGCGCTGCTACAGCAGGGGCAAGGCAAAGTCTGGCCTGTGAACCAGATCTGACTGGCAGGCAGACTTAATTTCCCAGCAGCCCTTACCTGCATGGCAGGGGCTGGTCTCCATGGAGAACCCAGCTGCAGTGCAGTGGCAGTGCAAGGCTGGGGTTGCCATGGAGGCCAGCCCCAGCCACGTTGGCAGGGTGTGCTGGGCAGGGCATGGGCACAAGGCTGCCCTAGAGCCTCTGGGATCTTGCAAAAAGGGGCAGCTTGGCCCGGGACCAGGGTAGAGCCATGATCTGCCACCTGCACACTCTGGGCAGAGGCATGCAGGCAGCGGATCACAGCTCTGCCCTGGCTATTTGCAGAGGTCACAGCGTGGTCCTGAGCTGGGACAGAGCTATGATCTGCTGCCTGTACACCCTTGCCTGGAGTGTGCAGGTGACAGATCATGGCTCTGCCCTGGCCCCAGACCAAGCTGCCCCCATCGCAAGATCCCAGCAGCTCTGGACCAGCCCCCTGCCCTGCTGCGCACCATGCTAGCAAGGCTAGGGCCGGTCTCCATGGGAACCCCAGTGTTGCACTATCACAGCATAATGGCTGGAGTCTCCATAGAGAACGGCCCTAGCCATGTGGGGAGGGGCTACTGGGAAATGGAGTCTAGCTGCCAGCCAGATCTGCCATATTGCCCAACCCAGCAGTGCAGAAACACAGTTGGTGATCATGTGTATACACACAATCGCTATGGCGATGTAGGGCGATGTGTAGACACAACCAACAGGAAGGATCCATCTACTGTGCAACTGCAGATAAAAATATATTGGTAATCCATTTAATTATTGTCTGCTTGCCATCAATTATATTCCCAGAGAAGGGGCTTTTTCTTATCAAGGTAGCGTGCAAAAAACCTTTAAAATATCCATGATTTGGAGTTTCTTTTAGCCTGAACAGGTACAGGATTTGAGAGAGAAAATGAGGCAATGAAAAGTTAGATTCATATGGAAAAGTAACAGCTGGAAATAAATTTGTTCCTAGCACCAAAATGTGGTCTCTGTGAAATACTTTGTAAGGAGGATCTGCTATGAAAGCTTGGAGTTTGTGGACTCATCTATTTAATGTAATGGCTATAAACTTTCTAAGTCAGACAACTCAATTTTGCAAACATGACTTGACAATTTGCAATTCACAGATGAAATGGTGGGACAAATAAGTCTTACTTGAAACAAGATCAATTTCTTTGGGTCTTTTTCTGTAGAAAGTTCTTGAATTACTTTGTGTTCTTACTGAGTACAAAGGCTACTAAAACCCCTCAGTCTGGGACAATACAAAACTTCTTCGAACACCTTTTGAACCACTTTGCCACTTTTTCAGCAGGTGGAGGCAGTGTCACTGGCAACTCCCATAAAGCTTCTCAGATTCTAATATGCTCCTATGAATTGGTAATGCATTTCTGGCAAGAATGGCATAATGCAGTGGATCAAGAAGTTTGTATCAGTCTTCAACAGAGGGTGTGGGCTTTACAGGGAAGCTATTTTTGGAAGGCTTTACAGTCATATGGCTGATACAGGAGCTGAGGAAACTGTTTCAGCAGG